GACCTGCTGCAGCCAAGAAGAGACCAGGAAGGAGGGATAAATAGGCCATGTGGCTGACTCCATCTTGGTCACTCAGCTCAGCACTTCATCCCAGAGGCAGCACTGCAGGGATTGAAGAGCTGGAAAGAACTGTGGACCCATCCAGACATAGGATGTATGCCAAGGACTTTTAAGCCAGCAGCTGTAACATCTGTTAGAGCCTGCATCGAGAACTGGGAGATTCCCATCACTCGATCTCAAAGCGTTTCGCAAAGGAGGTTGGTGTGGAAGCCATTGCTTTGCTGATGGGGAAACTGAGGCACTAGGGGGCAAAGAAGGGACCGGCACAAAATCCAGAAACCCAGCCCCTGGCACCATCTGCCTGGCCACACAGTTCTTGGGGGAACAGCTGTCTCCCTCTGTAGTGACTGCATCCCACCGCAGCCTCCCCCATGACAGATCCCGGCAGCTCACTCACCCTGCCGCTCCAGGACCCCTTGTCCTTGTTGCACCAGCTTCCGCAGGGTCTGCAGACACTCCTCCTGCAGGAACCACTGGACATACCGCGTCCAGGTCTTGTCCGTCTCCCAGCGCTGCTTCTGTACAAAGGCCGGCTGCACGGCCGCCACCCACGTCCCCGTCTGGTTGTCGAAGCTGATGAAGTCCTGCCCGTCGTAGGCGTATTGGAACCTCAAGCTGTCGGGGGTCTGGTCCTCCAGGGCACAGCGCGCATGGACCTGCTCCGTGTGGATCCCTGAAAGGGAGGGAGAGAGCTCAGACCAGGGGTCTGTGGGCGGGTGGGACAGAGGGACTGGGCTGGACTATGACACCGGGCAGTTGGCTATTTTGCCTTTGTTATATATATTGCTATGACATTCCCGCCTCATCATAGTCACAGCTTTTATCATTTCAGATTAGATTAATGCAAGTAACCTACAGTCTTGTATCCTGTAGCAAATTAACTTCGGCAAGTTAGTATCAGTCCTGAAACTTTTTAAATATCTAAACAAATTAACTTTATACTGACTAACAGCACACTGCGAAACCCTGAGGTTTTGGGGAGTGGAAAATAGAGGTTAGGTACATCTGGTGATGTAACATGTTTGAGACAGACGCCTTTCTGTGTGATGTGGAAACAAGAAATGTCTCCTATTTTCCCAGGATTATAGTTAAAGTCACTGTTAGCTCTTAAAGAGCCCCATTTCATAGAAATTGCTAACGATAAGGATAAAGCAAAAGAAGCTCTTTCCTATTTAATGAAGAAGGTCATGAGTCTGTAACAATCCTTGGTGTAAATGGTGGATTAAAAGGATGGGGCATAGATCTGGGATTATTGGGGTTATTTTCATCATTCTAGGGTACAATCAAAGACCTTGGTGTCAAACCATTGATAACGGTAAACAAAAGTCAGCTGAGCACCACGGCAGGAGGCAAAGGACGTGACTCAGGCAACAGTGCCTCCCAGAGGGAACAGCCAGCATGTCAGCGTTACAGAGTCAGGGTATGTCTACACTACCCTCCTAGTTCGAACTAGGAGGGTAATGTAGGCATACCGCACTTGCAAATGAAGCCCAGGATTTGAATTTCCTGGGCTTCATTTGCATAAGCCGGGCGCCGCCATTTTTAAAACCCCGCTGGTTCGAACCCCGTGCAGTGCGGCTACACGGGGCTCGAACTAGGTAGTTCGAACTAGGCTTCCTATCCCGAACTACCGGTACACCTAGTTCGAGCCCCGTGTAGCCGCGCTGCACGGGGTTTGAACCAGCGGGATTTTAAAAATGGCGGCG